GGACCCGGTGTCCTGAACAAGTCATAAAAAACAGGGATGGGAGAGGGCGCCGGTTGTTGGCGCGACCGGAGCCGTCCTTATGCATGCCGCCACACTTGATTCGTATCTCACGATATGGGAATGCCATAAAGGTCCCGGTAAGAAGAGGGCCATTGCAATCTTAGTGTCAGTCCACCACTCGGCCCCTGCACACTAACACGCAAAACTGCCTGCACGGTCCGAGTTTTCCCATTAATTGGCAACCATCCAAGTCACGACTTTTAGCGCACCGGGGTATTTTCGGGCATGGCAGCTTGTTTATTAGTGAGGAAAATACCATAAGCCGTCAACCTGGCCTTCCTTTCGCATCCTCGGGCCCCAGCCACTGTCGGAAATGTGCGCAGCGGTTGGCCTACAGTCAATGGCCAATCCCATGAAATGTCAGCAGGTCTGACATTTGTTTCCGATTACGAGGGGTTTATCGCGTAGTGTTAAGGCTAAAAAGGTTTAACTCTTACAACTGCAATCTTCCAGGCTCGGTTCCTTAGAAGATAGGAGAAGTCTTGGAAGAGCCAGAGTGGTAGGAAGAGTACATTCTGTACAGAATAAATGGGAGAATAGGCGCAAGGCTTGGCAGTCGAGAATACGATGAGAAGAAGTAGATGTGATCGATGGGACAAGAAGTTTCGAATTCCGTCGAGGATCCTTCATCAGAGACAATAGCAGACAATCAAACCAATGGACCCACTGTCACGGCAAGAAACATCTGGTGTCGTCTATAGGATCTGATGCAGTTGCGAGCAAAGCAACTACGTCGAAGAAAGCGGAAGACTTCTCAGGAGGCGAGTTACCGAACAAGCGGCAGCAGTACGAAGGAATGACGCTAATTCCCACAGTGCAGCTCATTCGACGAGACCCGGTCTCACATGCAAATTTGATGAGGCTGAAGTTCTCGTGCAAAGGGAAAATCGTGTGAGTCACAAGTTACTTGTGTCATGGTTCACGGCCCCCTACCCTATAAACAAGTGCGACGACCTGCCCAATCCATATTCGGTGCTGCGGCTCAGTTTGACCAAAGCAAATCGGTACTTTGGGAACACACAGGTCAACGCGTCGTCTAACGCCAGCGACAAGGAGCCAGATTGCCGGGCAATCGGCACGTCTTATTCTACCGCGTGACGAATGTTCAGCAGGTCAATACACGCCCGCCGGTCATTAAGGAATTAGCGCATAAGCGGCAATTATTATCGACAGAAGAGTCATTAACTGTCATAAGTGTGCGGCAGCATATTGACTGTGTCCTATGAATACTGCACCTCCTGGTGTATGATTTATAAATAACCCGTAATGGACACAATGTTCATGTCCTCATGCGGCAGAGAGTAAGAACGAATTTATCTTGTGGCTTGCTCGTTGAAGAAGAAGAAGAAGTAACAGTTGATGGTAGTTGTGGAAGAAGACAAGATTGGCAGAAAGAGGGTTGGGGAGCAAGGAAAGGAGAGCCTAGGACGGCACAGAAGATGAATAAACACTCTAGCCGTCCTGGGATCACTTTGACAAATAACCCCCCCCCACACGAAAGTGTGCAAGCACAAAGAGTCACATGCAAACATACCAGCACCGCCAGGTTATGTACAACCT